AAAATGATACATTCACATTGGAAATTATTTGATAGTTTCTACTAAAGTTCAACATACACCTTCCCTATATCCCAGGATTTCCACTCCTAGGTATATGTCCAAGAAAAGTGATTCACTCATACCAGATTTATTCAAAATAGCCAAAAACTAGAAACAATCCAAATGCTCATCAGCAGGAGACTGAATAAACAAACAAGATATATGCATACTTGGGACTACTACACAGCAATTGAAAAGACTATTGATAAATCTAACAACAGGGATCAATCTCAAAAACATTATGCTAAGAAATGAAGCACAAGAGCACCTACAGTATGATTCCACTTGTATGAAGTAGAACAAACAGGCAAGACTAATGGTTGAGCACATCAGAGTGACTGGAAAGAGTATGAGAGAACTTTCTGAGATGTAAACAACTATAAATCAGGTACACACTATTGAGCTATGCACTTAAAATTTGTGCATTTTACTACATATAAATTATGCTTCAATTTTAAAAAGGAAAAAAATCCCACCTCTGATCCCAAAATATGTGTAACCCTCATGGGAACTAGACCACTCCCCATCCAAAGAGATCTAGGTAGAATTGTTACTGAAAATTTGGTACTTGTCCCCAAGGCCAAAGAATGAGGACAACTGATTTGAGGAAAGAAAGAGAAATGTATTAATTTGCCAGCAAATTTAGATCCTGGGCGGGAATGTAGATCTTAATTCCCAAAAAGGGTGAGGGGTTTTAAAGAGACAGCTCATAAAACATTTTCCCTTTTTCAGAACTTTCCCTCTGTTACATATTCCCCACTGTCCATTCTACCTTCCATATCTATTGGGGGTTGGAAAATGTAGTCGTCGAACCACTTCCTGCTGACATGGGACAATGTTTTAGGTGGAAGGTTTGTACTGATTTATGCCGTTGCAAAGCTTTGGCAGTATATTCACACAAATAAAGAATGCAGCAGATTACAGGTGAGAAGAGGGCATGAGCAACAACTACAACCATGTGGATTGATAAGATAAAATGGAGGATACCTGAGAAAAAAGATTTTACCCACTTGGTATCTAAGGCACCAGTATCACTGTGGGTCCTTAATGTCACCTTGTACATAATGTCTGATATAGGGCTGGTGAGAAAGAAACACGGGACCTCTGAGTATGGAGCCATTAGTCACAATAGCAAACCCAGCAGTGAGACAGACCAGCAGAAGAGGCTATAGAATGAGAAATCCTCATTAAGGGGTTGTCTCTCCATCTTCACAGGGTCCCTCCCATTTCTCTACCAGTTGTTGTTTGGGTATTTGTTGTTTCCAAGCTTTAAGCAACACCTGGTCTCCTGGTTTAAAGGAGTGGAGGGGTGCTTCCAACTGGGGCAGGACCTGAAGGAGGCAAACTCATGCATAGTGATTAGTATTTGATTTATTTGTTTGATATATTGCTGTATTCTGCTTTCCTTACTCATTATTACATTACCATACTTATCCTGGGGTGCTAGAAAGTGTCTCTCAAAAATTATCTCACAGGGCCTTAACTTAAGCCTGCTTCTAGGGACTACCCTTATCCAGAGGAGGGCAAGCGGCAACACCTTATTCCACTTTAGGTGGGTTTCACAATGTAAAATATCATTCATGGCACATAGATACCATATGAATCTATACTCATTATCATGGGCCTTCTGGACAGGCAGTATTAGTGTATTGTAAAGGGACCAGTAAGGACGAACTAGTCCATGAATTCCTTCCAACTCTTCCTTTTTAAGGGGGTATTATTTCTTATGAGAGTGTAAGGTCACTTCTTTTAACAAAACGGTAATGGTGTGGCTGTTCCGGCATGTCCCAGGGGCCCATCGGTCCACGTAGCCTTACTCCCTTTTTGGGTAGACCTCTGGAGGAATGGAATTTGCTGCTTCTTGCAAATGTTGCAGTTGCAGTAAAAGATGTGCAAGTCTGCTGAGGCCCAAGCTTCAAATGCTCCACAGCATTATGTGTGCTTCACCAGGCACCCGTACTTTCCCTGCTCTCTTCTCCCACTTCCTCTCTCTCTCTCTCTCTCTCTCTCTCTCATTCTCTCTGTCCTTCTAAAGGATAAAACAAACTTTTTAGTTATATCTTCATATCTGCGAGAGAAATCTTTCTCCACTTGCGCCATGAGCACCCCCTAGTCTTTCCAGCCTGACACCCAGGAGTGGGCACGGAGGGGGGGATGGTGCGCGAGCTTATCCACACCTCACCCCGGCAATGAGCATCTGGGAAAGTCCAGAGTCACAGACTGTAACAAAAGCTAGAGACAAGCCCAAATTCTCAGTATCTTCATGGTCCAAGAGCTCTAAGTCAACAGTGAAATAAGAGGCAACCAACCCATAGGGAAGCCCCATAACTCAGCCCATGAAAGAGAAAACTGCTGCAACAGGTAACTCCTGTGGAAGGTGAGCTCGCAGGAAATATGAAACCAAAGAGGATGTCTAGCTACATAAAAATACCCTGAATAATTCATACAAAAAAAATCCAAAAAGAAATCTTAATGGTACATTAAAAACAAATGTTTATTTAATCCATTGTATGTTTGATTTAATTCATAATTAACACAGATATTAATTGGTGTGCTTTTCTTTTCTGCACTTTCTCATGTGTCATTCTTCCCCTATGAGTGGCAGGCATCCATCCTACCTTGAGAAGATTTAGGATTATTATAGAAGGAATACAAAAGGCAAAGGCAATATTTGCCTTGGGGAAGTTTTTACTTCTAAAATAAACGACTGAGGATCAAGAAGGAAGAGCTGAGAGTATCAGAGAACAGACCCGGAACGGAGAACAGAGGACTTGCTGCTCCCTGTGTCCCCTGCCACTGGGGAGGCGGGATCAGGATGGCCTGGACTAAGCAGAGAGATAGAAATGGACTGTGACTGTGAAAAACACTGGGGACCTAGATATGAGAAGCTCTGACTTGAGGACACATGAAGATGATAGAACAGCATGTGGAGGCTGTCAGGATTATCTGTAGCCAGAGACAGTGGCCTCGGAAAGCTGAGCCTAAGTCTTCAGGTGACTTGTGGTCTCCTGACTTTGTCATCCCCATTTGCTGTTCTCAGTTCTTGGGGTAAAGGCAATCAGTGGAGACAAACGTGTACAATGCCCATTAGAGTAGCCCGTAAGACACTCACTCGCCCATCTCCAAGAATTTGCCGAGCACCTGCCAAACATAGTTATAAGGAAAGAAGCACTTCTCTATATAATGATATAGAACAATCTCCAAAATATATTATCAGGGGTAAAGCAAAGAGTATGATAGCTTCTTTAGTAGGGTTCCATTTATATAAAAGAAAAACAGACTCTGGGAGGCCAAGGTGGGAGGATCGCTCAATGTCAGAAGTTCAAGACCATCCTGAGCAAGAGTGAGACCCTGTCTCTACTAAAAATAGAAAAAATTAGCTTGCCAACTAAAAATATATAGAAAAAAAATTAACCAGGCATGGTGGCACATGGCTGTAGTCCTAGATACTCAGGAGGCTGAGGCAGAAGGATTGCTTGACCCCAGGAGTTTGGGGTTGCTGTGAGCTAGGCTGAGGCCACAGCACTCTAGCCCAGGCAACAGAGCAAGACTCTGTCTCAAAAAGAAGAAAATAAAAAGAATAGAAAAACATATACACATGTTTATGTGCATATATGTGCATGTAGTTATTTACAATTGTATGTGTAAAAAACCTCTCCAAACAGTCCACAGAAGCTGGTGCCAGTAGTTGTCTCTAGAGAGTAGAAGGTGCCTACGGAATTGAGTGAGTGAAGAAGTTCTTATATTATTATTTCTCTGGTTCCTTTGAACATTTTTATTATGCATATGTATTACATATTCCCAAAATTGAAAAAAATCTCAATAAATATTCACACAACACACCAATTTTGTTTGTAGATCGGTTGCCTGCTGAAGCCCTCACACATGTATGTACAAGAGGGAAAAAATACAACATTGTTTATAACAGTGAAACACTAGAAACAACCAAAATCTTCATCAATAGGGGAGTGGGTATGTAAAATATGGACTAGCATATAACATGCAGCAGGACAGAATAACATATAGACCTAGCAAAGAATAGCATAGATCAGTTAAAGGAAATGAACTGGATTAACTTCCCATCTGTGAATCAAGACTCAAAAACACATGGAGCAGAAAAGGAACATAACATAGGGTATATGTTTATCATATAATTTGAGTGAAAATTTTAAGAACGCACTAAGTAAAGGTACAAAAATGGACTAGAAGGATACCAAACTCACAATGTAATTTACCTCTGTGGAGAGCAGTTGCGGTGGGGTGGAGAGTTTACTCCATGCTTGTAATATTTTATTTCTTAAAAACAAATACCGGGAAAAAAATAAATAAAAAGCCGGGCATGGTGGCTGACAACTGTAATCCCCACACTTTGAGAGGCTGAGGCAGGGGAATCTCTTGAGACCAGGAGTTAGAGACCAGCCTGGACAACATAGTAAGACCCCTCTCTACCAAAAAAAAGAAAGAAAGAAGAATTAGCCAAGCTTGGTGCACCTGCCTGTAGTCCCAGCTATTTGGGAGGCTGAGGTGGAAGAATCCCTTGAGCCCAGGACTTTGAGGCTACAATGAGCTATGATCATGCCACCCAACATACTCCAGCCTGGGTGACAGAGTGAAATCCTGCCTCAAAAAGAAAAAAGTAAATATGAGAAAATGTTAAAAGTTTTAATTCTGAGTGACAGGAAAATAGATGTTTGTTATTTTATTCTTTGTGTTTTTCTCTATATTAAACATTTCTCTAAATTTCCATAAAAGTACATATAACCAGCCAAGGTCCTCCAGATAGATCCCTTTATTTTCTTTTTAAAGTCAAATAAATTCTACATAATCAGCATTAATATTATTGGTAAGAATTTCTCTAAAAAATTTTGTGTTAGAAGTTTTGAAACATTAAGAAATTCTGATTGTGATTCAGGTTTCATACTGCAGATGATGAAACAGGATGGAGCCATCGTCAAGGAGAATGCAGGGTCTTTTAGGCTTGTTGCAGCATGACTCCTGTACACACCCATCTGTTCCTCCCCCAGCCTCTCTTTCTTCCAGATTCCACTTAGCATATCTGTGGAGAAAGCAAGACTTGCTTTGGGGCATATTCATTTTCCTCTTGCCTCTTTGCTCTTTTTGGAACATGAAACATTCTATAGGCAGAGCTCTATAAAAACCCATGTCTCCACTCTCCCTGATCACTTTGGTTCCAGCATCCTGCCCAGCAAAGAACCCTTCTGCCAAAATGATAGTTGGAGGATTAAGTGATGCCAAGCCTGCCACTGCAGAAATCCAGGAGATTGCTGATAAGGTGAGTTGACTCAGGGAAGAGCTAGATCCAAAAATCTTCCTTCATGTGTTGTCCTCATGGTGAGAGTGTAGGTGAAAGTGAGAACCAGAACATTGGGAAGTGTGTGGTCTTGTGCAGCCTTCCTTACAACTAAAGTGGAATACTGAGCTTTTCAGATGAAACCTCAAATATTCCCAACACTGTGAGAGTGGCCTTGAGCATTTGCCTTCTCTGAGCTTCATTTTCCCTATTTGCAAAATACGAATTGATATTGGGTCATTTCTAAAGCTCTTACAAAGCATGATTCTAGGATTACTAATTCAGTTTATAATGAAATTTTTCTAATCTTACCAAGTGGAGCCAACATGTAATTAAAGTCTCAGGTTGTTAACAATTTGATGAAGTAGATTTGGAATACGTTTCAGGGAGTTTTTTTATAAAAAGTTGAATGAAGAACAATATTGTAAAGGCACTTACCAACTTCCTATACATTTACCTAAATAGTGTTTTAGTCTTTTCGTAGTCAGAGGGTGATTAAACCAGTAGAAAAGAGAAGTGGGATAGTTGATGGTGATTCTAAAATGTTATAAGCACCCGAATTATTTATCCCAATGAAAAATAGAACTCAATATTTTCAGCAAGTTAATACATTTTCTAAGTACTGTTTCATTAGCTGTCTCCTATATAGTAAAAATTTATTTACATCTTTTATGAAAGGAAAATGCATACAAATGACTACTTTAGGTTTGTAATTTGTTGCCTTATTGTTTTCTATCATTCCTTCTTGTTTTTCTCTCTGAAATGTCATTCTATGGCACTATTTGACAAGCAAGATCAGCTATTTGTATGATTTAAGAGATGGGATCCTTTATGTTCAGGAAACTCTCTAAGGAGCCAGATGTCTGGAATTCTACCAACATTGTTTGGGACTATTTCTCATTCAAAAAATCTTTAAAAAAAATACCTTGGAGCTCTCTTTTCTTGCAGAAGATGATATTAAGTCATTACTGCCTTTATTTGAAACTCCTAATCAAGTCAGCATTCTCAATTTGAATGTGCACATGAATCACCTAGGGGTCTTGGTGAACTGCAGATTCTGATTCAGGAGGTCTGAGATTCTCCACTTTGTCAATAGAAAAGAACCCAGACTCTGTAAAATAATTTAAAGAGGTATATTCTGAGCCAATATGTGTGATCATGGCATGGAGAGCCACACCCAAGAAGTCTGTTCACGTGGTATTGCCATAGTTGGGTTATAGTTTGGTTTTACACATTTCAGGGAGACAGGAATTATACTTAAAGTCATAAATCAATGCATGGAAGGCATATATTGGTTTGACCCGAAAAATCAGGACATCTCGAAGCAAGGGATTACAGGTTACAGGTAGTTTTAAAGATTCTTTGATTTGTGATTGGTTCAAGAAATGAAGTTTTGTCTAAAGGCTTGGAATGTTGTAAGTTAAGATATGGAAGTCTGTTAATCATAGACAAGCCACTGGACAAATAGCCAGACTCAAGTGATCTGTTAAGTAGACTGATGTCCTGAAGGGGTTATTTAAGCTTTGTCTTGCATAGCCTTAGGCCTGCTAATGAGTTGTGGGGGAGAGTATTCGAGGCAGGCCCACAAGGAGATTAGCTACTTCTCCCCATGGAGCCAAGTCCCTAAAATAGGTGTCACCACAGAGGATAAGGAAATTGATGGACAACAGAGAGAAATAAAAGAATACACAGACTAAGGTATAGTTTATAGTTTTATATATATATAAAGATCAGATATAACACAGCAGGGAGTACCCAGGAGACTGGTGTATCTCCATAAACGCCAGTAATATGGTTAGATTCATACAGGTTTTTATAATTACAGACATCAATTACCAGTGTCAGGGTAACATATTTTCATATCAGGGAATGCAGTTGCTAGGGGATACAGGTAGGGGGGTTACATATTTTCATATCAGGGAATGCAGTTGCTAGGGGATACAGGTAGGGGGGGTTAGGGTCAAAAGTACTCTCAAGGGGCTGCTAATCTGTCTAGGTGAACGAACAGGTACAAAGTCTTTCAGGGGCTAGCTTCTAAGTTCTAAGACATAGTTGGCAATTAACAGAGGTAAAACAAAAGAGGTATAGTGACTCAATATTTCTTTGAATAGTTATGGTGGACTTAAAGAAAGATAAACAAAGAGAGCAGTAAGCCCATCTCTATAAAACAGGTTGTTTATAACCACCGGGGTGCATCTCTGGGCAAAGTGCACTCATTGTCTCCGGCTCCCATCCTGTGGGCCATATTTGCCTTGTCTTGTCTTTCAAGACACAGGGAAGCTCACAGATTTTGAGATACCAGGAAGCCGTCCTGGAAAACATCCCTACTGGAGACTTGAGAGCTCTCCCATGATAGCAGCCTCTAATAAGTGAACCACTGAGTCCACACATTCCTTCAGGGCAAAACCCTGCAAATTCCTCTTTCTGTCTTTAATATAGTAATATTGGGTTATACAATAAAATAATGATCTTATGAGCCACATTTCATTAATTCCTCAATCATATTTTCCCAACAATGACTTACAAAGGATCTCTCCAAGAAGGGAAGGGGGCATGACGAGGCATGTCTGACCTCCCTTCCCATGGCCAGCAACTCAAATTCAGAGTTCTTCAGGGGTCCCCTGGCCAAGAGGAGTTCCATTCAGTCTTCTGTGATGCTTGGTATTTTATTTCAGTTCACAATTTTTACCAGGCTCACAGGCCATGCTGCTGTGGTATAGGACTCACTTGCCTATCTGTAAGCCACATCTTACATTATAAAATTAATTTGAAAGTGTGTTTCTGGCTGCTTCCCTCAGGCTCCACCTCTGCCAGAGAAGGAGCACCAGAGACAGTATCAACAACAGCCACTTTACCCCAGGAACGTGTTTTGCAGTTTTGAAAGCCTGCCCTCCAATCCAAACTCACATTCCATCTTCATAACCTCTGGGGCAGGCAGGGAAACCATCGTGTCCATTGGTCAGATGATGAAACCAAAATTCAAAGAGGTTAAGAGTCACCTGCTCAAGAAGTGAGCTTACCCTAGATCTTTCACACACGGTGGCAGAACATGGAGAAGGTCTGTGAGGTGAGAGAAACACGCTGAGGGGAGAGGGTACAGGAAACGTGTCTTCTCTGTGCACACACCAGCCTCACATCTCAATCAATATGGAAGTGAATACCAATGAGTCATTTCATGGTAGGTGCATTTCCTGGATATTCTGTTAGGTGTCTAGTCCTGTTCTGAATACTATAGAGACTACATAAGGGCTGTGAGATATAGCCCCTGCCCTCAAGGAGTTTACAATGTAGGGGAAGACAAGATGTTGGAAATGTTGGAAGGTAGAGGAATAGTCAGGAGACTCTTTATAGTTTAGGAAGCACTTTCCCATTTATTATATCATTTATTCTCCTACAAACAAGCCCAAGAGGCAGGTATCTTTATAGCCACCTTATTGGTGAGGAACTTGAATCAACTCCAAGATGATAGAATTAGTTAGGTCTCCATGCAGTGGTAGGCAAATGGGCAGGTGCTGGGAACCACATCTCAAGTATGATTTGGAGAGGTTCAGGGAAGATCGCTACTATCCATGATTTACTTTGTAGTTTTGTTCCTTTGATTTTTGAATATATTTCTATTTTTTAAAATCATCTATTAAAATGCAGTGTTCTTAAAAGAGCTAAAGTTAATCAACTTTCTCTTTATCTAAGAGCTCTTTATCTAAGAGCTTCTTAGCGGAATGCCGGCTGAAGGAAGAACCCCATTGGGGAGGGGGGAAGTATCAAAGAAAAGTCAAGCAGGTGTTCAAAGAATTTGACCTCAAAGAAAAGAGGGAGGTTGGATGAGGTCAGAAAGAAAGGAAAGGCAAACAAAGGGTTTGAGGATTGAGAAAACTTGACCATTTTTTAATGAAGAGGAAAAGAGCTTTCTCATTCTGAGGATAGCAGAGATTGAACGGGTCATTGTAGTGTCGTGTATTAAAGGACGCCAGAGATACTTGGGTCCACAGTACACTTGGAAGTAGCCTAATCTCCCAAGATTCTTTATATTAGATAAGGGTAATTGCTATACCCATCTTTTCTGTTGTGGGAGACAAGTTGTCAGGATGGAAAACGTTAATTATGTGGACAGTACTGTGGGAAGGGTGGAGGGGGATGTGAAATGGTTCCTGCCCTCAGGGAAACTTGCACAATAGACAGGAGGTAAGGGAGACACATAAAAAATACAGAGCCATGTGCAGCCTTCCCTGGAAACTGTAACATGTGCAATGGAGACCCAAATAAATGAATTGCCCCCACAGCAAAAGCCTCTGGATCATTATTACTGATCTATTATCTTACGTCATATGAAAATAAATATTAGATGAGAATTCTAAGTATGTTTATATGATGGAAAGAAATGTTATTTAATAATTATTTTTAGAAATAAATGCCGTAATCACACATGCAATATACACACAGAGCCCTTAATCATAAACCTGATTGCTGAAACCATTCCTGACAAACACAGAACACACTTTTTGTCAGCCAGGACACCAGGCAAATACCTCATTGCATACCATCTGGGCACGCCCTGCAGTTCAGCATGTCATGGCTCTCACTCACCCCCATCCACACATTCCTGTTCCCCTCTCTGTCCACAGCGTCCTCCTCGGTCACTCTCCTGCTGCCCCACACCCAGAGAACCTGCCATTCAGCCACACCAGGGTCCTCCAGGCACTCGCCTCCCCCTTCATCAGATCATGCCCGGCCCACTCAGTCTCTCATGCAGCCTGGACCCCAGGCTGGGGTTTCATACACTCCTCCACCCCTATTTCCATGACCTGGGAGTTCCTGGCATGCCAGGCCTGAGGTCACTCCCACTGTACCACTTCCTGCTTGGCATCTGCTCCAGGATCAAAGCACTTGCTCAAGGAAGGGCAGAACCCCAGAAACCTCACCCAGTTCAAATCTAGGAATTCACGCCCAACAACCGCAGCAGGACCCTGGTGCCAGGACACCCTTTCAGTCACATTTGCTGGTCATTGCCTAGAAACCCCATGGAGGCTGCTCAGTCCCTCCATCCCCATGGTCCCTCCAGCAGGTGTCTCAGCTTCTGCCCTTCTTAGAGGATTGCAGGCAGCTGGTGAGAAATGCCCCAGTGTCCCTCTCCCCCACTGGCTCTCCATCCTCCCTCCAGTCTTAGGTTCTGTCTCCTTTCTTCAGCCAGCCCTTCCTCTCTGAGCCAGGTGACTTCATTTCTTGCATCCTGGGTGCCTTGCCCCATACTTCCTCCTCCCTTCAAAACATAGATGAGAAATGTCCACAAGTCACATCTTACCAGTCCTGTTGTCCTTTCATGCTACTACCCAAACTCTCCTTCCTTACTCTGTAAAATAGCCCCAGATATAATCTATCCATTTGCCACTACTATCTTCTATCCATTCTCTCCTATATGATGCACAGTCCAACTGCTTCTGTAGAATGATCACACATTAGGGGAAACGCCTGGGTGTTGGGTGCCTCCTGGCTCAAATGCTTAGATCTCAGAGAACTAACAACTCACCAAGATGTGTGCTCCTAGCAATCTGGAAAGCTCGAATGACCTTAGGGCTCGGCTAAATGTATTTACCAGGTGCTCCTCCCTGGTAGCCTCCTCTCCTGGCTGGGGATCTATCAACAAACCCCCTCTGTTCCTTCCACCACCATTGGCCACCACCAAACAAGACAGGCTGACAGAGCCAGAGGCCAACTGCACTGACCAGCTCCCCTACTCAGCCCCTGCTCCCCAGCTCAAATCTCATCACCCAGGTCCAAAATGTCCAACACTAAACCACACAAATCTGTTTTACTGGAAAGGAGGAGGGAGGCTGCAGGTTGCAAGGCAGTGAGCCAGAAATCAAGGTACACAATCACACAGGTGCCAGGGTATTTCAGGAGACAAACCAGATATTTGAAATCAACTGTCTCATGGAGAATTCTGGATTTGTGGACTGCACAGATACAATGGAAAGGTTACAGATCTGGATCCATTTATAGAACATATAGAAATAAAGGCCGGGCGCTGTGGCTCACGCCTGTAATCCTAGCTCTTGGGAGGCCGAGGCAGGCGGATTGCTAACCAGCCTGAGCAAGAGCGAGACCCCATCTCTACTATAAATAGAAAGAAATTAATTGGCCAACTGATATATATATAAAAAATTAGCCGGGCATGGTGGCGCATGCCTGTAGTCCCAGCTACTCGGGAGGCTGAGGCAGGAGGATTGCTTGAGCCCAGGAGTTTGAGGTTGCTGTGAGCTAGGCTGACGCCACGGCACTCACTCTAGCCTGGACAACAAAGCGAGACTCTGTCTCAAAAAAAAAAAAAAAAAAAGAAATAAAAATTTATGATACATGCTAAAAAATGAAACATGACCAAATGACTGTAGAGCAGAAGGAACACAGATCAGATTCTTATGCTACTAGGCAAGAACTTTAAAATAACTATGATTAATAATTTTTCACCCTTAAGCCGTCATGCTCTATTTATAGCCTCAGGTCTCGCATTTGTAAAATGAGGTTTAAATGTATACATTTGCCGGGAAGTGGTGGCTCACACCAGTAATCCCACCACTCTAGTAGGCCAAGTCAGGGGGTAGGGTGTGCGGATATCACTTGAGCTCAGGAGTTCAAGACCAGCCAGAGCAAGAGGGAGACTCTGTCTCTAGTAGCTTGCACCTGTAGTCCCAGCAACTAAGGAGGCTGAGGCAGGAGGATCACTTGAGACCAGAAGTTTGAGGTCGCTGTGAGCTCTGATGAAGCCACTGGACTCCACCCTGCAACAGAGCAAAACAGCTAAAAAAAATAAAAAAAAAAAAAGAATATTTGTGGGGTTGGGGTTAGTGTAGAGATTAACCCTTTCCAACTCAGCTCCCAACTTGACTGGCAGCCAGTGCTGGCAAGCCTTCATTTGGAAGTGCAAAAGGCTGAGGACTGGGAACCCTAAGACAGTAAGCCCTTTCCTTATCTTCTTTCTGCACCCTTGTCCACCTTCTACTCTCTCCTGCACCCTGCCTCTTCCCATTCCTGTTTTTTGTCACTATTAGTCATCTCCCTTTCTACACTTTGGAGCTTCATTTTCCATCTCAACAAAGCAATCACATTTCCCCCATCTATTCTGAAGGTTATAGGAGAAATTGATGGTGTCCACAGTGTCTGGCCCCTCAAAATAAGTCTGAGAAATCATAGTTTGCAAATGTCTACATCTTTAAAAACAGTTCTGGTACCCAAACTAAGGCACCAACAGAAAAGGATTCAAATTTCTGCCCTCTGATGGAAGGACCAGGTGGCCCCAGGAGGCCTGACTGGCACTGTGTGTGCAGAGTGCTTTAGTGAACGCAATGGAGGCAAATTCCCTGTAAACAAGTTATATTTAACACACAGAGTTATTTCCTTTCCCAACCAAGACTGAAGGTGGGGCACAAACCCACAGATAAAAGACAACAGGAGATAGGCAGACAACACCACAGAGATACCAACAATATTTTGGAAGATGGAAAACAGGTGAACAATGGAAAATGACTGAGCAGTCTAGACAGAACCTAAGCCCATAAAGGGGAAAGTCCAAGCCAGAAGCAGGCAGATTTGTGATGCAGAACCTCACAATGGCTCAGACATTAGCAACACCAGAAACTTAAAGAGTGAGGCATGAGGCTAAACCGAAAGGTTTCATGGGAGACCCGTATAAGAGACAACCGGATTTTCCCCTCCCTGTCCTCCACCCTAGAAGACAGGCTACTACATTGGTAGAAGACTGGAGCTTCAGTCTTACAGAAACTGAGGCCAAAGGATTATAGGAGACTCTAGCATCTCAGGCCCAGCTGAGGGTAGCAATGAAGGACCAATACTGAAAACCAGTGGATTCAGTAAAAGTTTGCACACTGAATTTGGGACCCTCTAGCTCCTTTCTCATGCTTGGTTCAGGAAAGCTGGCATCTAAGCATGTATCTCCCTGTGGTAGACAAAATGATGGCCCACCAAAGATGTTCACATCCTAATCCCTGGAACCTGTGACTATGCTACCTTCCATGGTAAAAGGGACTTTGCAGGTGTGATTAGGTTAAGGATTTTGAGATAGGGAGGTTATCTTGGATTAACCAGGGTGCCCAGTGTAATCACAGGCTCCTTTTGAGAACTGTACACAAATATTGTACTCTAGTTAGTAAATTTCCTTTGCATAGGGGTATGGGTTAGCAATTCTGAAGCTGTTTTATGCATATGCTAGAACTGAACAAATAAGTAAATACGTTGAGAATAATGAGAATCAGACTTCTTTCTCAGTGTTTGAGAAAGGAGTTAAAGATAACGAAAGAGGCAAAGCTAAATGAATCCTATTGGATTATACACATACACATATATGTATGATGTTTATACATAATGTATTATGTGTACACACACAAATGTGTGCACTTATATACATTTATATATATACAGATCAATAAAGATGTGTGTGTGAGAGTATACATACATATATTTTGTAGCACTTTGTACTGAGTGGGCCCAAAAGCAATGACATCTAGTAACAATGAGAATATAGTGATTCAAAATCTTGGATCTTAAATACCACTCTCCAATAAAAGGAGCCAGGGCCATTTTTCTTTGGAGATGTGATTGGTTACAGCAGGAAGGCAGGGAAAATTGGAGATAAGCCTGGAATATGTTGTAGTTGCTCATAAAATGCTGGAGGCATGTTGAAAGGACACAGGCATCAGTGAAGACTCTCCCAATGGCCAAATCTAGAACAATTTGAGCAACAAGATAAGTAGTAATGAATTCTAATCCATAGAATAAAAGAAATACGCATTATTCATATTAGTAGAAAATAAGTAATTGAATAAATAAATAGGAGAGAGAGAGAACTGCTCTTCCTTACAGTAGAATTCCAGTTAATAAATGTACAAGGAATGGTAGAAATGGAAAAGTCACCACTTGGCAACCCCCACAGTGATAATTGTTGTGGACAAGAAACATCAATGGATGCTGAAATTGGTGGATGAAGGTACGAAGAGAAACAGGACAGCTGCATAGTCAGAAAGTGTCTCCTCATAAGACATTTATTATTATAATTACAAAGGGGAAAAATATTAACTTTACAGTGGAAAAACCTGGCAGACATCCTAACTAAGTGATCAAAATTAACATTACTAGTAATGAAACAGGAAAGGTAGTTCCTGATGAGATGCACTAGAGCATGTTACTCTTGTTCTGTCCTTACAAAAATGTAAAATATTGACATAAGAGAAGATCGATCCCCAAGTTGAGGAACAGCGTAGAAATTAAAAGGTAAGTATGTTCCAATATTGTCAAAGTAGTGAATGACAAAGACAGACCTAGAAATTAATCCAGATTGGAGGAGACTAAGAAGAGAGAACAACTAAATGCGATGTAGGATCCTATATGACATCCAGAAGCAAAAAAGGGACATTCTAGGGCGATTGGCAAAATTCTAATAATATTATATCACTTAATAATATAATATCATGTTAATTTCCTGGTTTGGTTATTGTTATGTAAAATGGAAACATTAGAGGAAACTGTGAATGATATAAGAGAATTTAGTGTACTATTTTTGCAACTTTTAAGTCTAAAATTATTTCTAAATAATTTTTAAAAAATCGAATAGTAACAATTGCTCCTTTTTTATCAATGAAAGACACAGATAACTATTAGCTTTACAAATCAATACCATATTTCATCACCACACCAAGATAATGTATAATAAATTCAGCCTAGAGCAACAAAATTGTACATTTTAACCCATGTAATCTTACTCAAGATAGGTGCTTTCTGTTGAAATACTAAAAACACTCACAGATCTCATTACCATCTTTGAGGACTTTTAGGAGCACAAGGTTCCCAGATTGGTAAATCACATAAATGGAGTCCAATATAGCTTTGATAATTTGTTTTTTCTTTTCTTTTCTTAAGGTTAAACCACAGCTTGAAGAAAAAACAAATGAGACTTACGAAGAATTTGAAGCTATAGAGTATAAAAGTCAAGTAGTTGCTGGAACAAATTTCTACATTAAGGTTAGAGTTCAACATCCACCTTAGCACTAAACAATATTATATTTCTCAATTTACATAAATGTTTCCTGTTTCCCCACCATATGATTCGTTTTTCTGGTTGTCCTAAATTAAGATGCCCAGCATGATACCTTCCAAGCAGTAGGCTTTCAAGTGTGACAGATGATGTTATACCACTTTTCCTTGTGAATTGTGAACACTCTTTACTATTGATTCTAAATTTCCAGGGATTGTATGGGGAAAAGATTTTATAACAGTTCAGGGAGTGCTTGTTTTGTGGCCATGGCTATAAAGAGGTAGGATAATATTTCATCTGCCTGAAGGGATAGGGTGAGACCACCTCATATCTCGAAGCATATTCCACCTCAAAGCTGAATGATTCGGCATGGCGCGGTGGCTCACACCTGTAATCCTAGCACTCTGAGAGGCCAAGGCACACGGATCACTCAAGGTCAGGAGTTCGAAACCAGCCTGAGCAAGAGTGAGGCCCTCATCTCTACAAAAAATAGAAAGTAATTAGCCAACTTAAAATATACAGAAAAAATTACTCGGGCATGGTGGCACATGTCTGTAGTCCAAGCTACTCGGGAGGCTGAGGCAGAAGGATTACTTGAGCCCACGAGTTTGAGGTTCCTGGGAGCTAGACTGACGCCAAGGCACTCTAGCCTGGACAACTGAGTGAGACTCTGTCTCACAAAAAAAAAAAAAAAAAAAAAAGTTGAATGATTCCATATTTCTAAATTAAGTAGATTTAAGAAATGACTTGAATCATTAGCTGGGAAAAAATGTAAACTATTATTGCCCTTTAAATAACCATTTTGATTTATATAATTTAAAGGATTATTTTTGCAACTCGAATTAGCAGCTTGAACTTGTGTCACTCTAGATATAGGTTAAAGCAGTGGAAAATTTAAAATATTTTAAAAGTTAATTTGATAGCTATGTGAGAAAAAATTAAAGATGAGTAATCCACTTCTAATTGAAATTATTGAGAGGGAACCAGTTCAAGTCAATCGTGGATATTTGGAAGCCATTTACATCCTTATGTATTAAGACACCAGCAAACTGGTATTAAATGAGCAGCACCTAAGTGGACACATAGGTACTATAGTAATAGGGTATTGGGCAGGGGGGCAGGGGGGGATATATACATACATAATGAGTGAGATGTACAACATCTGGGGAATGGTCATGCTGGAGACTCAGACTTGTGGGGGGAGGGGGGAAAGGGCATTTATTTATTTTTTTGGTATAATGTTCTTTTTTTTTAATTTCGGCATATTATGGGGGTACAAATTTTAAGGTTTCAAAAAGTGCCTTTTCCCCCTTCCCCCCACAAGTCTGAGTTTCCAGCGTGACCATCTCCCAGATGGTGCACATCTCACTCATTATGTATGTATATGCCCGTCCCCCTCCCCCCTGCCCAATACCCTATTACTGTAGCACCTATGTGTCCACTTAGGTGCTGCTCAGTTAATACCAGTTTGCTGGTGAGTATATGTGGTGCTTGTTTTTCCATTCTTGGGAAACTTCACTTATTCCAGCTCTAACCAGGAAAATATAAGATGTGCTATATCACCATTGTTTCTTAGAGCTGAATAGTACTCCATGGTATACATATACCACATTTTATTAATCCATTCTTGGATTGATGGGCACTTGGGCTGTTTCCACAGCCTTGCAATTATGAATTGTGCTGCTATAAACATTTGAGTGCAGGTGTCTTTTTTTAGAGTGTCATTGGATCTTTTGGGTAGATGCCCAGCAATGGGATTGCTGGATCAAATGGTAGATCCACTTGTATCGCTTTAAGGTATCTCCATATTGCTTTCCACAGAGGTTGAACTAGTTTGCAGTCCCACTAGCAGTGTAGGAGTGTTCCTCTCTCTCCGCATCCATGCCAGCATTTATTGTTTGGAGACTTTTTTTTTTCCGGCATATTATGGGGGTACAGATTTTAAGGTTTCAATAAAGAAAGGGCATTTATTAAAACCTTAAAATCTGTACCCCCATCATATGCCAAAATAAAAAAAAAAAAAAAGATGATGATGATTCTGATTTTAAAAATAACAAATATTTAAGTACATTTACTTAATCATTTGGCCAGGGCCCAGTATGGTTTATTTCTCTTTAACAAACAGTTTACTAAAAATGTATACTTTTTTAAAAAATGTTTAAAGCAGAAAAATAAAATAAGCGGATCTAGCCAGCTCAGCATAGGAAGGTCACAATACTGGGCTGTGTGGGTGGAGCTGCCCAGTCCTGCCAAATCGGAGCCCTTGGTGTGTAGGCCAGGCCTGGGCAGACACGTGAATGAGATCCTGCTGGATCCTTAGAAAGCAACGGCATTGCTTCCTCCGTTCTCAACCTGCTTTCCTCAGGGGCAGAAAAGAAAGATTTCTAGTAAAAAATGGCTTTGTTCAAAGATAGGAAATAGTCCATCAAAATTGGGATCATCATTATGGTAATTTATGGTTAATCCAAGCACATATTGACCAGCTCACACATTTCTTTAAAAGCTTTTCAGAAAACTGTCTCAAAAATTTCTTCTTGAAAATTTCGTCCCTTGCCCACACTTCTGCCCTCTCTTAACCTCAGTTCTGTCTTTCTCTTTTCTCTCAATCTTTCCATCCTTCTGCTATGGAATTTCTCCTACTGGACTACAGCCACTGACCCCAGGTCCCTCCTTCAGTCTGGGTGTGGATCCCTTTGCGCTGGGCCCCTCTCTTGATGTAAGGTCTTCCTGGCAGTGTGACCGTCTCTGTGTATGTCAGGTACCTCGCAAGAAGCAGGATGGTAGAAGGGAAGGACTGGAGGCTTCCATGTCAGACCAGCCTGGGTTCAAACCCTCGTTGGACTTGTTCTCCCAGTCAGAACCTGTGTGACTGAAGCTCCCTCCTCATCCTCTCTGAGCCTTCATTTCCTCCTCTGCACAGTGGGGCTAATAACTTACTTTGCAGGGTATTGTGAGGTTTACATACACAAGCTAGAAATTTCCTGAGGATTTACAATGTGCCAGGCACTATTCGAACAGTTGAATATTATCTGACGTAATCCTCACAACAAATATATAAATAGAATCACTTCTCTTGTGTGACTGATGAGAAAATTGAGCCCCGACTGGTGAAGTAACTAACAAAGGTCACAAAACTATAAGAGCAGAGCCAGGATTGGAACCCAGGTAGTCTGATGCTTACCTACTGGCCGTGCTGCCTCTAGTAATGTTGGCAGAGATTGATGCCCTGTTCCAAGGACAAAGAAAGTGCTTTTAAAATGTTACGCTGTAGAGTGAAAAGAGCATAGATGTTGGAGCCCAACACATCTGGGTTTAAATATTGGCTCTTCCACTTACTAGCTGAGAGATTTATGGAAAACTACTTAATCTCTCTTAACATTCTTCTACGTCTGTAATATGGACATGGTTCTGCCTTTCTTCAGGCCTAAAATAATAAGTAAATATAATCATGTATATGAGATACTCATCATAGTGTCTGGCTCATAGTGAACATTTGACAAATGGCAATTGTAAGGATAGGAAGTGACATCAGAACATAATAAATATTATTATAAGACAAAACTTTCATTGTTTCAACCAAGAAGAAAAGTAAAAATTCTTACCATGAGTTTACTGGTCCCAGATTCATGTCCAAATGACTATTTCAAACTTCATACCAATGACTTCCTAGCAAGACCCCTGTCATTTAGAAGGGAACTGTCAGCCCCCTGGGCCCTGCTCAGTCCTACCAGCTGGCATTTATAAAATGGGTTCTAATATAGGTGTGGGAACCATGCATACCAAATTTCCTAGGGCAATTCTGATCTTCTCCAATGTCAAACTGCATGGGAAACAAGGTGTCACCCTTCGGGAGTCAGAAATATAGGCCAAAAATATAGATTGCCACTTGTTTTCTTGCTCTGTGCAACTTTAAAAACAAAATGCAATTCTGGACATCAGATTATAACAAAATATAGGTATGAACATAACAGATATAAAAAAAACCAAAATAAACCTAGGACCTATGCCCATTGCCATGCTATTAGCCTGCCCTTTCTCTCATAAAATAAGGTGGTCGGTTTATGGAAGCAAGGAGTCTAAGAGTGGTGGGTGGTCCAGCAATGCTGGTTCCCAAGGGAGTACTGCACCTTCTTTATGGGATTGAAGATCTTTCACTTGATGGAGGCCCTTCTGAGTGAATCTTTTTCTTTATCTTTTTTTTAATACCCTTCAGGTACACGTAGGTGGAGATCATTATGTTCACTTGAAAGTATTCGAAGGTCTTTTTAGAGAAAATGAGGATGTCGAACTTTCTGGTTACCAGACCAACAAATGCAAGGAGGATGAGCTGACCGGCTTTTAGCAGCATGTTCCCAAAGTGTTCTGGTTCCTTCCACCAGCTACTGAGAAATGATCCTTTCTAATAAATATAACCAAGAATAAAGCATTCTTTTTCAAATGAATTATTTCTTCCATTATTTCTCACTTATTGTATTAAATAGAAATTACCTTTTCTTTCTCAAACTCAGTGTTATTGCTTTGCAGTATAAATTCTAAATAAATCAATGTCAATTGGAAATCGGGTAAAAATTAGTCAGGCCTAATGCAACTGGCTAAAGGATACGACCACCTCCACCATAGGCAGGCTGGATCATGGACTATCAGTTTACCAATCTCCTTGTTCCCTGTGGTTGCTGAGACCCACACCATTCCATCTCTACCCTCACAATGTAAAATTAAATCAAGTATTTTACAAAATATATTTTTATTTTGAAACAATTTTAAACTTATAGAAAAGTTGCCCAAAAGACCCACTTTTTTCCCTATACATTTGAGAGTAATTTACCTACCATGATGCCCCATCACTAACTAATACTTTAGTGTGCATTTCCTACAAACCAGGGTACTCCCCTGCATAACCGAAATACAGCCATCAAAATCAGAAAATTAACATTAATACATTTCTAGCCTCTGATCTTCAGAGTCCATTGACATTTCCCTAGTTGTATCAATAATGTTTATTACAAAAAGTCCAAGCCAGGTGAGGTGACATGCAGCTACCAACTAGGGAAGCAGAGGTGGGGGAGTCTCCTGAGGCTAGGAGTTCGAGGCTACAGTGAGTTATGATCTCACCTGTGAATGCCACTGCACTTCAGCCTGGGAAAGATAGCAAGACCCTGTATCTTACAAAAAAAGATCCAGTCCAAAACCATGTGCTGTATTCAATTGCCATTTTCCTCTTATTTAACACCTTTACTGAGATATAAATTACATACCATACAATTCACAAATTTCAAGTGTACAATTAGCTTTTAATGTATTCACGAATGTGTCCAAACACTACCACAGTCAATTCTAGAACATTTTCATCACCTCAAAAAGAAACCCATACCCTTTAGCTATTGCTTCTCCATCTTCCTCCATACCCCAGCACCAAGCAAAGACTACTTTACCTTTGTCTAGATTTGCCTAGTCTAGACATTTCACATATATGGAATTATATAATGTGTAGTTATTTGTAACTGGCTTCTTTCACTTGGCCAAATGTTTTCAAGGTTCATCCATGTTGTAGCATGTATCAGTATTTTATTCTAATTTATGGCCAAATATTCCATTGTATGCACTTTGTTTATTCATTCGTTAGTTGATGGGTATTTGAGTTGCCTTCACCTTTTGATTATTATGAACACTGCTACTGTAAACATTTTTGTACAAGTTTTTGTGTGGACATATATTTTCATTTCTCTTGGGTATACACCTAGGAGTGAAATTCTGGTTCATATGGCAACTAACTCTATGTATAATTGTTTGAGCAATTTACAGACTGTTTTCCAAAGTAGCCTTGTTGTTTTACATTCCCACCAACAGTGTATGGTGGTTCTGATTTCTCCACATTGTCACCAATACCTGTTATTATCTGATTTTTTTGAGGCTAGCCATCCTGGTGAGTGTGAAATAACATCTCATGTGGTTTTTATTTGTATTTCCCACAGGCCTAATGATGTTGAGCATCTATGTATGACATGACAAAACATTTCTATAACTTCCATGAAGAAATGCCTATTCAGATCATTTGCTTTTTCTAATTTTGTTATTTGTCTTGTTACTATTCAGTTCTAAGAGTTCTTTGCATATTGTCTTGATCTGCTTTCTGTTGCTTACAACAGAAGACCAAAAATTGGATAATTTATAAAGAAAAGGAATTTATTTCTTACAGTTATGGAGGCTGAGAAGTCCAAGGCCAAGGGGCCACATCTGGTGGGAGCCTTCTTGCTGGTGGGGGCTCTCTCAGAGCCCTGAGGCAGCACAAGGCACCACAGGGTGAAGGGGCTGAGCCTGCCCACTCAGGTCTCTCTTCCCCTTCTTGTAAAGCCACCAGTCCCACTTCCACAATTACCCAGTAATTCATGAATGGATTAATCCATGCCCTCACGAGCCAACCACCTCTTAAAGGCCCCACCTCTCAATATTGTCACGTTGGGGATTAAATTTCAATAAGAGTTTTGGAGGGGTCAAATATTCAAACTATAGCATATATTCTAGATATAAGTCCCTTATCAGATATATGGTTTATAAATATTTTCTCCCATTTTGTGGTTGTCTTTTCACTTTCTTCATGGTGTCCTTTGAAGCACAGAAGTTTTAATTTTAATAATTTCCACATTATTTTTTCTTTTGTTGCTCATGCTTTTGATATCATAAGTAAGGATCCTTTGCCAAATCCAAGCTCATAATTATTTACTTCTCTGTCGTCTTCTAAGACTTGTATAGTTTTAGCTCTCACATTTAGATCTTTGATCCCCTTTGAGTTAATTTTTGTATATGATGTCAGGTAAGGATGCAGCTTTATTGTTTTGAATCTGCTATTGAATTGTCCCAGCACCATTTGTTGAAAAGATTCTTTTTCCCCCTGTTGAATGGTCTTGATGACCCATACTGAAAATCAGTTGATTATAGGTACATAAGGCACCCCATCTTCCTCACCCCACCACCTGCACTCCCCAATTCACACTTACCCCATTCTGGTGCTCAGGCTGACACCCTCCCCTGGGCCACTGCCACCATCTCTCTACCCAAGTGCCTGCTCTCTCCCTTCCAGCTGGGCTCTACCAGCCTGGCTGGGCACCTACTGAAGGGAAGCCAACTCCAACATCTAGTTTCGGACCATCCCAAACCAATGTCTGCTTTCCTTGGCCCTGCTTAATGGATTTTGGACTGAATTTTAGGGGAAGGAGAGGGCAAGAAGAAGTGGAAGGGGGGTTAAGGGAAAAGGAGAGAAAGGGAGCAGGGAAAGAGAACAGAAAACCTGTTTCAAAGATGCTCTAAAGTCTCCCTCTGGGCTCTGCTCTCTGCCTATCACCCTGCTAGTGCCACTTGCCAACCCCCCATCCCAAATAATAAAAATAGTTAATATATGGTAAGTGCTTACTATACTCCAGGTGGTATGCCAAATACTTAACAAATATAACTCATTTAATTTTCTTAACAACCTCATGAGATAAATATCCCCTCTTTATAGAAGACTGAGTGTAGAAAGAAATGTTGTTACTTGTGCAAAGACACCTGACTAGTTAGTAGAGAAGGGAGGATAGGATCCCAGGCTGTTTGCCTCCTGGGTCAATGCTCCTAACCTGCAAGTGCTACTGACACATGCTCAGAATTCATTCTCTCAGCTATTCTGACCCCTGAAGCAGATAAGGAAGTGAGAGTGGAAACAGTGGTTGTTTTTTATAACCACTGCCAACTCTCAATGCTTCATAATGGAGAGACTGTCCTATTCATCTGTCTTCAGCTCCCAGCACATTAACAGTCAGTAACTGAAAAGCGTCTCCCCTGGCTAACCCGCATTAATGCTGTAGAGCTCTTACGTACCAGGAACAACCACAGACAATCCCACTGGCCTGATATAATAACTGGCTTTGTGAATACATTTCAGTGACCCCTATGTGGTTTTTTTATAATCTTGCCCTTAACTAGCTACTTGAACTTTTTGAGTTGTTTCCCAGAAATGGCAGGATTTTTGCAAGGCAAAGGAGTGGAGACTCCAAAGGACCCTGGGCAGACTTCCTGACCCAAGACTCACCATCCCCACAACCTTCCCCAGTGCGGATCTCCTGTATTCTGAAGAAGAGGGATTTGAGGCTGCTTCTCCCATTCTACTGACAGATGTCTATTGTCCTTTGTAGTAAAATATTCCTTTCATCCTTGGTGATCCTCAGTGTCTCAATAATTGACCATCTGTGTAGCAAGTAAACAGACCTAGGCCAGATGCCTTCTGCATTTGGTAACCAGAAGGACCCTTTTCTGAGCCATGCAAACAAACACACACATCTACAGCTATATACACAGAGCTGCTGATCAAAGATACATGAAATTCTGGAGATTAATCAAGATGGCGGACGAGAAACACTGCCAGACAGAGTGTCTGCAGAAAAGACAGATTCTAGGAGAAATTAGAAGAGAGAAGCAAGAAGACGAGCATACATCAGAGGAGGGACAGAAGGAGGGGTACCTGAGACCATGGAGACTCCACGGGAGGAGGTTGCGGAGAACTAGAAGCAAAGACCTCCGGAGCAGCCTGGAGACCAGAGGCAACGGTAGGTGGAATGGTTAACTCTCCCCTCTATTGCATCTAGGACTGCTGGTGGGCTCCCCAGCGGGTGGAGAGACCTGCGGACACCAGTCCAGAGATGGCTACCGCCAGTGAGCGGTAAGCCTGTAAAGGACTTGGGACCAGGCTCCCAACTCCCTTGGGGCACCTTCCTGCGCATAGACCCAAGCCAGGAGGCAGGCTCCTTATTGCCTCATTCTGCCCGCCCCGACCCCATCTGTGGCTGCCCATAGAGACAATATGGCCACCAGCAGGAGGCACCTCCAGGGAACGGGACCTTCCCTTTTGGGACCCTACAGCTGACTGAGGGGAACTCAGACTGTGAGCTTCCTACCTGCCAGCCCTCTCAGGTGCTGCTGGCATGGTGATCCCAGAAGAACGGTGCAGACCCTGAGGCTGAGAGACATAGACCCAGCTTGGGCTCCCCGTGTGTGAATTGGGATTGGCACTCCTCTCCCTGGTGGGGTTTGGGATTGAACTCTGGGGCCCAGAGGTCAGATCAGATTCCGTGCACTGAGGTCTCGCATTGCCCAGGGCACAGAAGGGATATACTGAACACCTTACTGAGGTGTGTGTGCCTTCAGGGGAAGATTAGCATCCTGGAGGGCAACGCTCCTCCCAAAGGCAGGCCGTGCACCCAGCCCAGGTGGCGTTCCTGTGCAGGGAAACTCTTGGCGGGCATCACAGCCAGAGGAGGCCTGGTGGTGTCAGGTCTGGCCTGCTGGCAGAGGCCCAGGAGTACCCATGGAGTCAGGGAGGGTGGAAAGGAGTGAGACCTGCTCCAAACTGCGGGTCTCAG